TCAGGAAATAGCCATCTGATCCGGATCCATTCGACTGAGAGCGCGATCTTGTGCACATACTTGTAAGTGTGACCGAGAAGGACGTTGCTCACACGCGTGTCTGCAAGAGCCGCCTCTAGAACCCATGACAAAATTTACGACGGTATGGATAACGAAATTCCGTTTCATATCATGGATTGGGAAAGTCTGAGGCACCGAGTGGGAGAACGTCTGTCTTCTTGCACGACCCAGACCCAATCCTCCAAAATTTCCCTATCGGATAGGGAATGAACGGGTCTGTGAATGAGACACTGAACGAACCTTAAGCGCAATCCCCATTCCCTCCCAATTCCCCAGCTCACACGTGACCCATGTCATCACCGAACCTGGTATCGCCATCCTTGAAACGGACTTCCCTCCCTACCGCCTCGTATTGCCTTTTCATTGCCTGATTGCTGCCCCTTGGCACGCAATCGTCCCTTACTGGCCCCGAACCTCGTGCTCTGAGTGCCAGTAAAACAGCGAGTACCGAGCCGCGGGATTCGTTCGACGAACCCGGACCGAGGCCGAGCAGCAAGCACACAGCCTCCGTCTGAGGCCGTCCTCGTCGGATTCAGAGGCTTGCCACGAGCGACACCAACAGATGTTCAGGCGGCGCGACCCCCATAGCGTTCCACTGGTTCATCAAATCCGAACTCGGCCCCGCCGCGGAAACCCGCGGCGATGGTAACTTCACTTCCGAAAGCATAAAAGCCAGACGCGATCCGCACCTACCATCTTGCACAACTGTCCCCGAAATTCGCCGCCGGAGATCCCAGTTCCGACCTGGGACTCCACCCCCACTTTCCTAAAATCCTTGGCACACCCCTCTTCGCACTTCCAGGCCCTCGCCGCCCCCATTCCACTCCGATCAGGAAGTTGCGCTGGGCGTGAGGTTGGGGCGTCACATGTTTCAAGTTATCTCTTTCGATGGACCTATATCTTCGTGCGGGATTGTCCTTGGTTAAAAGGGAAAATTTCGAGTATACCCCATGTTCGTTTTTTTCGTCTTGCTGTTTTGTCCTTGACCCATCTCAAATTTGTGTCTCAGAAGGTAACCCTTGGACTGGAGCGAGAATGACCACCCCAGTTTCATCCTGGCGGTTCAATTGCCCCGCCCAAAATCCTCGGCCACGCCTGACCTACTCTGATCAGCGTTTCCACGGGTACAGGACCCTACCTACTCTGATCAGCGTTCCCACAAGTACAGGATGTTGTGCGGGGTGTGGTTGCATATCACAGGCACTCCAAAACTATCTGGAGTGCAGTTCCAGGTATGACAACTCTTGAAAGGCAGTCCCTTCGTATGACAACTTTTTGAAAGACAGTAGAGCCACTTCCACTCTTGATGATTTCAAGAGTGTTTCTGACCTAGGATCTGGCTCGACTACATAACACTCTACATGCATGTGGACAATTTGTGGACCAGGTGCATGGGGACGAGTCCAACATTTTGACTGGATACGCTTCAGAGTTCTAGTGCATATAGAAAGACCCCTATTCTAGAGTAAGTGGAGCCATGCTGGACTCCTGATTTTTTTTAATTTTTTTTTTTTTTTATTTTTTTTTGAAAACTCAATCGTTGTTCATTTCAAAGCATCAGATAAACGGAAGCCGGGGACCTCACAATTCAACCCGGAGTTATCCCGGCAGCATCAGCCGGTTTAGCTTAATTGTCACCAGCGTAAAACCTACTGCCCTGCAAATATTAACATTAAGTCTACATACTTCTAATCAAAGTGCTTTACGCGCCTATGGTAAAAACAATGCTGATACCAGGTCCAAAGGAACTGCACCTAGTTCTTAAAAATCGTAGTGACTCTGGAAATACACAGGCCTAAAATGGCATGAAACCGACCTAAAGACGACCGGTTGGAACTAGGACCCAGCCTAAGTTCCCTATGAACTGTTGGCACTCTCCACCCTCCTCCCCTGTTGACCTACTATGATCAGAACCAGAACCGAGCTGCCCTGGCTCATCAGCAAACCCTACCAGAGAATTAGAGAATTGGCGAATTAAAGGTGTGAGTAGGACAGGGGAAGGAGAGCGGTCGTGGTGGAGGAAAAAACGGGGAAGGAAGCAAGGGAGGGGAAGCGGTTGGATGGGGGAGACTTCTATGTTGAGAGCCAGGGGGAGATGTGCTGGTTGCTCTGCTGGGTTATGGCAGCGATCTGATTGTCTCTTGCCCAAGTGACTAAGAACCAGTGACGTCCTCTTCGCGTTGAGGCTCGTTTAGCCCGTCTGACCCAGTCTACTCTGATCATTGTCCGAATCCAGGACTTGATTTTGCTAATGACAGCCGCGTCGTTGGACCACTGCTGGCGAAAGAGTACGTTGTTTCTGTCTTCCCAGATTACCCAGATGATGATAGAGCGAATGGCCTGGGCAACGTAACCCCGTCCTGTTGCTGTGAACCAGGAGGGGGGGAGGCGGCCGTAAGGGCCCATATCTCATCCCATTGGAGTAGAGTGCCAACGAATCGGTACCAATGATGGCTCCACCAGTCCCAAATGCGGCGAGAGGCCGGGCAAGCCCAAATGAGGTGATGGAGGGTCTCTTCTGCTTGTCCTCCACAGCGTCTGCACTTCGTCTCTAGGTCCATGCCCCTCTTGAGCAACCAGATTGCACTTGGTATGATTGTATGAGATAACATCCACAGTAAGCTTGCAAGCTTTCGAGAGGGGAGTAACGAGAGCTGTTCCCAGAGGACCGTTAGAGTGGCCCGAGTGATTGGTGTCTGTGGGTTGGCGAGTCTGTTAAGCGCATCCGCTGCCTCCTGAGGCACATTAGCTGGTTTGGAGAGTAGAGACCTCGCCTGTCCAGCTGTGTATTGGAAGAGATAGAGAGTCTTCCCCGCTGATGTCTGCCAGAAATGACCCATTGGATCAATTCTGCAAAGACTGTCCTGAAAAGGCTGGCCTTCGTTTAGAAGATGGTGGATTGCTTGTACTCCTGGAGTGGCTGTGTGAACCCGTACCAGTTGAAGTGGGGTATTTGCAGGGATAGTGATGTCGGCTGCCGGTGAAAGTTGCGCTGCCAACTTGTTTCTGTTGCAATTTTGCACCTCCCATGTATGTGCATGCCAAAGGTTGTCGTCCAGCTTCTCTTCGGTCCGGATAACTACGGTGTCATGCTGGTCCCCCGTGATGGTGTACCATTCACCTTCAACTGGTGCAGACGACCGGAGGAGTTCCAGCCAAGGTGTTGGGATTGCTGCAATAAGTTGCTCCAGCCTATTGGTTACCAGTGGCAATCGTCTCAAAACGATCTTGAGTTGCTCCTCCTGCCTCCATTCTCTTCTATCCTCGTCCCACAAGCCTGAGACCCTGGAGATTCCTTTTCGACCCATCTTCTGCCAAAAGCTCCACTTGCTGCCTTGGCCTCGAACAGTTGCCCCTGATCGTTAAGAAGGAAACTGTTGTCAAAAAGTTGCTGCTGGAGAACCTCCTCCCTTGTCGTTGGCTCTTTGCTGTGGAGTGGTTGCAGTGCCCGCCATGCTGTCCAACAAGAAGCTACTATGGAGGACTTTGGTTGACGTTGAATGTAGGAGGACATAAAGATGCAGGTCCAGACATCCTTAGGCCTGGCGTGGCTGAATTCTTGTTGGATCAAATATTCCAAAACCATGAGCCAGGCTCGATTGTCTGACTGTGTAGCTGCTTTATGGAACCATTTACCCAACAAGGCCAGATTTTGGGTTGTTGGGTCGATGATGCCCAGACCTCCCTCATTCTTCGGTTTTGTGACTTTGTGCCAGGCTCGTTTGGTGATAAAACCCTCGTCTTGCTTTGCGGTTGGCTTCCACAATCCCTTGCTTGTGTGGTTGCCCTGAGCATGGTTGACCACCACAACTACAGAAGACATCAAGGAGGTTCTCTTGACGGAGGATGTCAATGCGAAATGTGGTGCTGAGTTCATCACCACACTGGCGGTTGATAAGCAACCGCATTCACCAGGCTACAGAAGTCTGCTCCTAGCACCATGGGCGCTGGTAGCAGAGCCAGACGCTGCTAGAAGACAAAAGGGCTCCAAACCTGCCACCGAAGAACAACTGCGGATCGACTCCTCAGCCGCACCTCCACATTCTGATGGTCAGCCTTAGAGCCGCCACCTGGAACGCCAGGGGGCTCTGCGATACAACACGCAGACAAAAGAGGCCCCGACTGAAGACTTGGATCCACCATAATGGAGCCCAAGTCATTATGCTCCAGGAGACGAAACTTGACGAAGCCAGGATTCAGCAGTGTCGTACCTGGTGGAGAGGCCCCCAATTGTGGGCCCCTGCTAATGGTACCTGTGGAGGCTCTGCCATTCTGTTTCACAACAGACTAGAAATGGAGATGCTTGACCAACAAGACGATATTTGGGGACAGTGGGCCTGGGCACAAGTAAAGTTAGGTGGTTTTTATGACTGTGTGCGTCCCCTCAGAACCAGCGGATCGAAGAGCTTTTCTCAAAGAGCTGCCACCCGTGGTTCCACCGGCAGATAACTTGGTCCTAGCGGGAGATTTCAACACAGTTTTAATCCCAGGTCTTGACTCACAGCAGGCAACTCCAAGGCGACTGGACGCAAGGATGCTCGCAGACTTCATTAGCGAGAATGAACTCACGGACGCCTACCGACAGACACATCCAGATGACCCAGGCTTCACCTGACACTCCTCGCAGAACTCGGAAGATGTAGTGCCCCCAAAACGCCGCCTGGACCTGGTTTTTACCAAAGGCGCCGCTTGGGAGGCGCTTACATCGGTGGAGGTGATAGTGGACCCGCTCTCAGACCACCGCCCGTTGCTGGCCACCTTCGAGACAACAGCGCAGTTATCAAGAGGCCAAGGCACCTTTCGCTTCAACACAGATATGCTAACCAATCCTGAAGTTTTACAATGGATAGCAGACCATTGGCAGGACTGGCATCAAATAAGGGAGTGGTTTGAAAGTGAGGAAGATTGGGTACAAACGGGCTTCCGGGTGGTCACTCGGGCGTTGGACGTCTTCTCGAGAGTTCAAGCCCTTGGCCGCCGTTTTCAGGAGCTGGAATGCAGGAGAATGGTTGATGAAGCTGAATCCCAACTGGAGGCAGGAGCAATAGCGGAGCTTTACTTGCAGCGCAAAAGAAACCGCTGGCTCCAGAAATGGGACGAACTGCAGATCGAGCAGCAGGTTCTCTGGGCTAAGCGAGCGCAGGAAAAGGGGATGATAACCTCAGATCGCATGTCGAAGGAGATGTTTCAACGCATCTGCCCTCCACGCGCACTTGCACTCATGCGGGAGCTCCACCACCCCTTCTACCCGGAGGCGGACGTGGCGAAAGACTCGGAAGCTATTGGGGAATGCGCGCTGGAGTACTTCCAAGACATACTTACATCAAGGCGCCCCCCTTTCCAGACTCTGCAGCAACTCCAGGAGGAGCAGGACCTCTGGAGGCACACTCAAACGAGCCTCTCTCAGGGGGCACGCCTCTCGCTCGACAGACCAATCACACTCGAAGAACTGTGGGAAGTAGTGAAGAGCATGGCAAAGGGCAAAAGCCCAGGCTCTGACGGACTACCGGTCGAGTTCTATGAAGCCGTCTGGCTACACGTGGGACCCATTCTCCTCAGTCTCTACAATCGTGTTCTAGAAGGCGGCTCTCTGACTGCAGACATGAAGATGGGTATCATCATGCTGATCTACAAAAAGGGCGACAAATGCAACATACGTAATTGGCGCCCTATATCCAGACTCAATGTCTCCTACAAGATCCTCTCCAAACTTCTTGCAAGAAAATTGACGTCGCACCTCCCTGATCTAGCCCACCCTGACCAAGGGGCTTTTGTGGAAGGGAGGGCAATATCAGAGAACATCATGACAGCCATGGGCGCCTTGGAGATCATTCACCAGGAGAACAGGCAAGTTTTGGTCGCTATGCTCGACCTTGAGAAAGCATACGACCGCGTCAATTCGTCCTTTGTGCTTGCTACACTGGAGCACATGAACTTCGGGCCAATGTATCGCAGATGGGTAAAAGAACTCTACGTTGACGCCACTGCTACAATCATGGTCAACGACTTTCTGTCTCCGATTCTGCTGCTGACGCGGTCTCTCCGACAAGGCTGTCCCCTCGCCTCATTGCTCTTCGCCATACAGATGGAAGTACTCCTCAACGCTCTCCGGGCAGCCCCTCGGATTCAAGGACTGGCCCGGGGACCCGGTCACACACTCCTCACCGGGGCGATAGCGGACGACCTCCTACTTGTTATGGAAGCGACTGCAGACTCCACTGGCGAGGCGAAGCGACTCCTAGACGCCTATGCGGACCTCTCAGAGGCAAGAGTAAACTGGAACAAATCGCTGTACTTCCTTCCATCAGACTACGACCTCGAAGGAGGAGATTGGGGCATGAAACGAATAACTCCAAATCTCTCGGAGCGTTATTTAGGCGTCCAGGTGGCTCTTTCTGACGCCAGACCCAAGCAAGATTTAATCTTGAAGGCCAAAGCACAGGCTTCCTTGCTCAGCTGTCGCATGGCTGTAGGTGTTGCATTGATGGGCAGGGCACTACTTATTACAACGGCAGTTTTCGCACAGCTGTGGTATGTAGCAGCCATCTGCCTGATCTCGAAACCTCAGTAAAGCAGCTGACCGCCGAGGCAGCCTGCTATCTGTGGACTCCTGAATTTTCATGACTCTAAAGTAGTCTCTTGAATTTTCATGACTCTAGAGTAGTGGACGGAGACCCTTTGGAACGAGTGCATGAAATGAGGGCTTCCCTGTGCTGCCACGAGAAAGGCTCTCGCTGTAGTACTCACCCCACCCCGATTGCGTGACATACATACTACACAACGAGAGGGGTCCTATGAGTGGGGTCGCGGAGGAAGGAGGGAGCGTTCGTAGGGGGTTCGGCGTACGGCTCCCAAATGCGGAAAGGGGAAAAACTGGTGTATAGCACTGTATATATTAACGTTCTAGCGGAAGATTCATTCGAAGATTCATTCTCATTTTGTATACTGATACCACGCTCGGGCGTGGGGGCGCAGCCAGGTTGGCGGCGGACCGGCGACCAGCCTACGCATTGCCCCTACTGGATAATTTGTGAAATACCCCTATAAGTTGAGTTACACCCCTCTGACACAAAAACTACTAAATGAAATGCCCCTGCCGTCGGTTGTACCTGTCATCTTTGCAAAATATCCCTACCGGATACTGTCCATAGTTTGACTTTTCAACTGCACTCCTGGTGCAGGTCGGCTCAAGTCTCAAGCTGACTTTGTGTTTCCGCCGTCAGATTACGAGTCAGTCTGAGCAAGCTCATCAGAGCGAGCAAGTTGTCCTTCAGACACTCCTTCATCTGGATCGGTGAGATTGTGCGGAGTGTTTGTCCTGTGTCTCATTAGCCTACAACATGCTCACCCACCCTTCCAGGTTTTTTTTGTTTTTGTTTTTTCCCCCCTCCAATTTGGGCTATTTTTCGATTTGTGCGTGTCATTCTTGCGCAGGGGCTGTGTTAATCTCCTTTCTCTGTATCGTTCCAATTATGGTGGATGTACTGTTTCATATTTGCCCCAGCTTGTCTGTGCGTGGCTGGGTGTGTGTTCGTCTGTAGTGTCTGTATGATGTCCAGCCCGGTGCATCGTGGTGAATGCCTCGACGGCGCATGTATCGGTCAGGAATACCATTCGGGCCCACGCGGTTTTGGGGTGAGTGAGTGCCCGTGCCTCATGAGTTTGGAATCTCACACCGACCGTGGTGAGTGGTCGAGAAGACTCACCATGACAGATGTGCTGCAGGTGGGGTGAAACAAGTTTCAGGGCGAGTGTTCATCCCCCTGTTTTTTTGGGTGTTCTCGGAGGAGCGGGGTGAGTGCAGTGGTGTCACTCATCCCGAAACTCAGACGGGGTGAGTAATGCAGCAAGGCCAATACTCAGCAATCTCCGGCCCAGGGCGTACTCACACTAGGGCTATCTCACCGCATTTATGACCGGACGTCCGGATTAGAGAGAGAGAGAGAGAGAGAGAGAGAGAGAGAGAGAGAGAGAGAGAGAGAGAGAGAGAGAGAGAGAGAGAGAGAGAGAGAGATTACAGCAACACGGAGGAGCTGTTTTGCAGCTGGCTACCGTCGTCCCCCGAATACAACGTACGGACGGTCATTATAGTTGTATTTCGACTGAAAGATACCCCAAATACAGCTGTAATGGCCGTACCGTAAGTTGTAGTTGGGGCAAGAAGGTTGTGTTCCCCTGAACATAACGTCCCCGATAATGAACGTATACTAGATAAGTTTCCAGTCCGATACGTTGTATTCGGGCGCATTGTTTTCCGTCCCTGCCGGGGAAGACGTTAGTGTGTTCCGTGAATAAGGACCATGCAATGGGAACCATTCTAGGCTTGCTAATCTCACATCGGATGGAGGTAGAGAGAGAGAGAGAGAGAGAGAGAGAGAGAGAGAGAGAGAGAGAGAGCTCCCTAGAAAGAAAGCGATCAGACGAACGGTGGCATAAAAGATTGTGTCAGAACGTCATACGTGCGATTGCAAGGATGTATGGAGGATAGTGAGGGTGTACTCGAAATAGGACTTTTTGGACTGTACCTGGCTATGATTTGGGATCCGATACATCCCACGAAAGTCTGCTTTCTTGAATGTGGCCCGACATGAACATGCGTGCTCAAAGGCGGATGAACAGCCATCGGGGCGCGGTCAACAAAGGCGTCCTCGCACTTCGGACTTCTGTGGAACGAATCTCGCCATTATAGCGGTCAGATACGTCCACGAAAGTTCTGGTGTGATCACGCTCTATGGCGAACGAATCTCGCCATTATAGCGTTCAGATACGTCCACGAAAGTACACATACATAATAATACCTGGCTGCGAAGACGATGTGCAGTGGTGCAGTGGGACCCGGGCCCGGATGTAGACGTGTTTCATCTCCGTAAACGTGACCGCATACAGGCAACGCTACTAAAAAAAAAAAAAACAGTACCCCACGGCTGTTCGGTTTTTCTTTTCATGCACATCTCCACAAACATGGCCACAATTCCGTTCAAAACGAGAAAAAAAAAAACAAGAACACCCCACGGCTGTTCGTTTTTTTTTTTCCATGCAATCTCCACAAACATGGCCACAATTCCGTTCACAAACATACCTTTCAGTCAGTCCGCCTCCGTAGATCTCCCAAAAGGATTCAGTCAGTCGGCCTCCGTCGATCTCCGAATGCAACGAACGGTAGCATAACCGGTCGACGCCCTATACCCACTTACACCTATTTTGTTAGGCCCCGGTCGACGCCCTATACCCACTTACACCTATTTTTTAGGCCTAGTTGTGCCCATGGCCATGCCCGACCGTTGGCACGTGACGACGCTGTACATGCCGCGTTTCCCGTCTAGGCAACGACGGGGCAACGTCGCTGTACATGCTGCTTTTTCCATTACAAACATGTCTCGAAAAGGAAAGTTTCCTCGGCGCCCTAATCTGGACGCTTTTTTGCGCAAATGTGCAGAAAGTCGCACCCCCCTATAGGCAGCCATACCTGGCTGCCAATTTGGTGCCCGTGCGGCGAGGACCTAGGGGTGGCGTGGAGGAAGGAGGGTGTGTAGGGGCCGCCGTGTTATTTGTCTCCGGGCCCCGGGGTTAGGGGGTCGGGGGGCAGGGGCCGTCGTGTTTAGTTGTCGGTGGCCCGGGATTGGGGGGCCGGGGGCCAGGTTTGAGGGCATATTCACGTGAGCATTTTCCTACATGTACCTGACCGCAAATACGGCTCCGTAGCCAATTCAATTACCTGTCAAATCTGGACAGCACGGCCTTTCAGGCCATTTTTCATTGTCATTGTAGTATTACGGGGAACCCCGTAGCAGCCACATCCGTGCTCAAGCCTCCAACGAGGGAACATGCGGGAGCTGCACCCACCAGCAGCAGGTGCGATACCTCCTGCTACAGCAGGTGAGCGATACCGGCCAGGGGTCAGCTGGTAGCATCAGGACCTACAGTAGCTTCTTCGATGGGTCAGTCACTGTGCCTCCCCTCAGGTGGTGTTCCCCTCCCCCTATGAACATCAGCAGTCTCTGCGCAATTCCACTCGGGGGGACCAACGGCATATCTCTAGGTGGCGGGCACCAAGCTTTCCCAGGAAGGTGCATGAAGGTTTCAGCCACTGCAGAAGGAATAGTTCCAAAAGAAATACCAGACAGGAAACTTCTTACAGTCTGCTACCTTCCCGGGTTGTTTGTGGAGGATTCCCCGGCCCCCGGCCTCTCCCTTGGTGTACGTAATCGAATCAGCTGAGTTTTTCCCTGAAAAAAAAAAGACAAAAAAAAACAAAAGATAAACCCTTCTTACTTTGCATAGATGCATGTGACGGCAATCGCGTCCAGAGCTGAGTCGAAAAAGTCCTAAATTGGAACGATACAGAGATGACACGCATAAATCGAGAAATGGTCCAAAAAAAAAAAAAGGACTTCATTATGGACGTAATCCCCATCAGATGCATCCCCTCCGCTTATAACTGAGGTCGGATACATTTGAGATACCGCTAGTGTGAGTACCCCGTCAGTTGGTACACCCGGGACCTGTTGAAACGCCGGTTCAAGCTCGAATCCAAAGGCAACCAGATTTAACTCTGAATTACCTGCGTCCGGTCTTTTTTTTTTTTTGCCAAAATCAGTCTTTTTGTATTACTTGAAATCGATTCGGGGACGCGTGGCGGGAGACTCCCAGAGCTACCTACAAAATTGTCCACCTGGAGAAAGGTTAGTTAAGCCGCTTAAGCGTGACATAATAATTATTACCACCTTTCTTCTCATCGAAGACTGGCGCGCCATAGCCGTCATGGATCTAAGTCAAACTCGCTGAACTCCTTCCTCTCGTGCTTCGAAATCTCGGCTGCAGTGCGATGCTCACAGGGTATACTCCCTCTCCCATCTCTACTTCCCATTCTTGGAACCCGTGTACTTGCCTCTCTTCTCTATCTATGCGTCTCTCTCTCTCTCTCTCTCTCTCTCTCTCTCTCTCTCTCTCTCTCTCTCTCTCTCTCTCTCTCTCTCTCTCTCTC